GTGTGTGTGTGTGTGTGGTTCGTTTGTGGAACAATTTTCAATAACAGTTTCAAACCTACACGTCATAATTTCATCTATTTCACTTCGGTTGATTTTTTTTCACTTTGAAGTATTTTGACGTTCTTTGAGGAAAAGTAATTTTTGTTAGGTGTTTTTTTAATTTTAGCTTTTCTTTTTTTTTTTTTGATTTCTCAATGTTTATTTTCATTATAGTTTTAAATATTTAGGTTGACAGGGGTCTGCATATGTAAATTTTCCTTAATTTTTAATTAATGGCCTTCGTCCGGCCCACGACCCGTCATTATAACACGATCCGACCTGCGGTTGTCGAATGAGTTGCCGACCACTACCCTAGATGTAGTGTCATCCTGAGCTGTAGAGCTATGTCTACCCGAAGGAGCTGGTTATGAGGCGCAAATTGTCCGCTTTGGCCTATTCTTCTGCTTGGAGTTGGACTTAGCTGTCAGAGGCTATTTGAGACATATTCCACGGAAGCATTTTATATACAGTAGGAGCTTCTCTAGAATATTTTCCCCGGCTATAAAGCCCTTTAAAATATAATGTACGTATTTAAATATTTATATACATCAACTGTTTTAGACATTAAAAAAATGAATGTTCCAGTAGTGTATACAGTACCTCGTCTCAGAATATTAAGATGTAATACCTACAAGGCAGCAGGTGATTTGAATTCAGAGTTTTCCCTCTCCTAGACTGCTATAGAACGTTCTCTGTGTAGACACGCACCACAGTCGGCCATGCAGGACGTTATATTTGAGGATGTCTTGCTTTATGAGATGCCGGAAGTCGACGGTGTTGACGGTCAACCGTCTTTCGGGACTCCACTTTTTTGTCTGGATTTACCTCCATAGCTTTAACCGGGTTTTGGATAAGTCAGCAAGACGGCGGAACTTTAAAACGTTTTTCCTTATCCTAGATGGAGTGCCTTCCCGAGGTGGAGTTCAATCTACCCGAACAGCTGGTAATGAGGCGCCAGTTCTCGGCCTTCGCTCATTCTTCTGCCTGTAGCTGGACTTATTTGACGATTTGACACACATGCCACAGAAGCATTTCATAGACAGTGCAAGCTATATATATATATATATATATATATATATATATATACAAAAACACGCGATACACACACACACACACACACACATATATATATATATATATATATACAATGCAATCAATTTACAAATACATGAATTATTCACACAAAATAATGCAAAAGGTTAATGATTTTAAATGAGACATCCATCTCATAAACAATTCAAATATTACACAAAAACCTTAGATCCGTTATGAATGAATTGATCCTTGTTCATATAAATTTCTGCCGTATTAGTTGTTATTTTTACACAAGCTTTCGTCTGTTTATACAGACATCTTCAGGTATATAATAGATGTTGTTCTTGTTTTTTCTCTTAGTAATAGGACATCGAAAATATATATATATTATATCCGAAATGCTATTGAAAAATGAGATATTGGTTTTTGAACGCCAAAGCAATGAGTTTGATTTTTGAATTTCTTTTTTTAAAATGTTTGCGTTTGTACCAAATATGGTAATGAACAAATTATTTTACTTAAATTTTACTGTCGAGATGAACTATATTAAAAAGAAAAAAACAAAACAACATATTTATATTTTGAAGATGTCTGTAGGAACAGACGAAAGCTTGTAAAAATATATGAAAAATCAATTCATTCATACGGATCTATATATATTTATAAGATGGATGTCTCGGCATTTAAAATCATTATAACATATCATATCATATACAGGTTATATATATATATATATCTTATTAATATATATATATTATATATATGTATTCTCGCCATTTAAATCATTAAACTCTTATGTTTGTTTTTAACACGAATATATATATATATATATATATATATATATATATATATATATATATATATGATTACATCTATATTTTCGTTGTCCTCTTATTACTGAGAATTAAAAAACAAGAACAAATCTATTTCCATAACTGATGATGTCTGTAGGAACAGACGAAAGCTTGTAAAATTAAAATGACCTTATGCTACTGGAATTTATAAACAGGGAACATATCATTCATATACAGGTTCGGGGTTAGTGTATCTTATTGAAATTGTTTGCGAAGATGTATTCTCGCCATTTAAATTATTAACCTCTATGTTTGTTTTTTGTCTGAATGATTCATGTAATATATATATATATATATATATATATGTGTGTGTGTGTGTGTGTGCGTGTGTGTGCGTGTGTGTGCGTGTAAAATGTGTGTAAAATATCTATCTATATCTATCTATCTATCTATCTATATATATATATATATATATATATATATATATATTTAGTTGGATTGATGTGATCGTTTGTGAGCCTGGGTTTATCAACTAAATATATATATATATATATATATATATATATATATATTCTAAGATGTGCTATATTTATGGGATAAAGTGCTCAATATTAGAGATAGAGCGTGTGTAAATATAAAATTGAACATAGAAGTCAACACTTCAGGCCTGACGATTGCATCTAGTATGAAACACGCTGTCGCCTCTAAGTGTTGACTTCTATGTTCATATATATATATATATATATATATATATATATATATATATATATATATGAATAAAGACAAAAAAAAGAAAAAACTTATCTTAGCCGACGCCTTTCTGATGTACTTTAACAAGGTAAATGTAAAGATTTTATTTTGCAACAAGTAATCATAGGCGAAAGTAAAAATGTTGTTACATCGTCGTTCGAATTTAGCATCCTGGGTTTTTTCTCTTGCTGACAAGAATACATTCGGAAAGACATCTTTTATTAAAATAGATTTATATGACCATCGCCCTACCCACTGTCTTCATAAAAAGATAATTATTCGATCACAATACAGACCCACACATATCTATTAGCAACATTAAAAGTGCACAACACTGTAGTTCGACATTAAGCGATTTTGTTTTTCATGGAGCAGGAGAAATAATAAAAAAAAGTGAACAGCTGAGGATGGCAGAAATGATGCTATGATGTTTATTATTTGTTGAAATTCTGGATAATACAGAACATGTCTTGGCCAGCCTGTTCTCGTTTTATGGTTTTATAGTTGAGTTCGAACTGGCTGGGCTGTTAAAATGAGTGCCGCGTGCGTTTAGAGGCAATATGGCGGACGATCAGGGTTTGAGATAACGTTATAGGGAAGGAAGAAAGATGGAGGGAAAGATGCCTGGGATGAGGCTGGCAAGAATGAATGAAATAAAAAAATGTATTTAATTGGGGAGAAAAAGATCAAAGGAATGAATGAAATAAAGAAATGAGAAAACGAATGCATTAAATACAAAGGGATACATTTGAAAAAAAAGAAGGAGTCAGAGAAGTTTGTACGATAGAGAAACAATGGCAAATAGAATGAAAGAATGATGAAAGAAAAAAAAAGGTGATTTAAAAAAGAAATGGATGAATGTCTGAAAAGAAAAGGTTGATGTTAGGTCAGAGAAAGAAAGACTGTTGAATAAGAAGAAAAACGTGAATGAAAGAAAAAGAATGAATGACGGAAGAAAAAGTGAAGGACATTTGAAGAAAGAAAGTTGAATGAATGAAAGACAAAGTGAAAAAAGAAAGAAGTGAACTAGTAGATGAATGAAAGAAAGAAAGAAAGAAAGAAAGAAAGAAAGAAAGAAAGTGGAAAGAAAGGAAAAAACTACAAAAATGAAAGATCTAAAAAGAAAGAAAGAAAGAAGGAAAGATAGAAAATGTCAAAAGAAACGAAAAAGAAGGGACAGGAATTTGAAAAATAAAGGGAAACAAAAGCAGACGGTCAGAAATGCAATTAAAAGAGAAGAAGAAAGAAAGTAAGAAGAACGAAAGAAAGAAAGAAGTAAACAAACAAAGCGGAAAACTAGAAAAAAAAACAAATAAATAATAAAAGTAGCCCAGTGAAAAAAAAAATGAAAGAAAGAAAGTAAGTAAAGGCGTGATAAAAGTTTAGAAGAAGAAGAAGAAGAAGAAGAAGAAGAAAAAAAGAAGAAGAAGAAAAACAACAACAAAAACAACAACAATGAAGCGGACTAAACGAAGTAGTAGTAGAAGAACAAGAACAAGAATGAAGAGGAGAAGAAGAAGAAGAAGAAGAAGAAGAAGAAGAAGAAGAAGAAGAAGAAGAAGAAGAACAACAACAACAACAACAACAACAAAAACAAGAACAAGAATGAAGAAGAAGAAGTAAAAAAGCGGGCTGGCCCAAATATTTAGAATGAAGAAAGAAAAATATGAGGAGGAAAATAGAGAGAAAGAAAAAGAAAGAAAAAGAAAGAAAATTCCTAACAACAGAAGGAAAGCAGTGAAAAAGAAAAAAAAAAGAAAGCAAACGTTAAAAAAAAAAAAAAAGAAGAAGGAAAGCAGTCGGAAAGAAAAAAAAGCAGGAGGTGAAAAAGAAATGGAAGAAAGAAAGAGATGTAAAAGAAAAAGAAGGAAAGGGGGGGAAAGAAAAAAGAAGAAGAAAAAGAAAGTGAAAAAAGGAGGAGGAAAAAGGTGAAAAAGAAAACGAAAACAAAAGGCGAAAAAGAAAAAGAAGAAGGAAAGAGGTGAAAAAGAACGAGAAAGAGGAAATAGGAGAAAATGAAAAGGAAGGAACGAGGTGAAAAAGAAAAAGAAGTAGACAAGAGGTATAAAAGAAAAAGAAGGAAGAGGAAAGAGGTGAAAAAGAAAAAGAAAAGAGGCGAAAAAGAAAAAATAGAAGGAAAGGAAGAAAAGAAAAGGAAGGAACGAGGTAAAAAAGAAAAAGACTTAGAGAAGAGAAAAAAGAAAAAGAAAAAGAAGGAAAAGGAAAGATGTGAAAAAGAAAAAGAAAAGAAAAATGATATTTTTTCCAAATCCTGGAAGAAAAGACCTCAAAATAGGAGGAATAATAATGAATGTAATTGATTTGTCTGTTCGATGGACAGACTGATTGTCCGGTTGACGGGGATCTGGATAGGGAAGAGGTAAAAATCAATCGCCAGATCGGTACGTGGTCGGTAAGGAAGACAAGAGACGGTAAATTAAAACGTGTCAAGACAGAAATCATACTAAGGAATGACTGACATCGGTGTTACTTTGCTTGATTCACCTGCATGTAGATTTTACACGGATAAGACTCAAACGGCAATGTGACAATTTTTAATTTTGGAAGCAACTGCTTGGCTTCTTGTAAAAAAAAAAACAAAAAAAAAACTGAAATCCATTTGTGTATTTAACTTAATCTCGAATTAAAACTATCTGGCATCAATATAAACTTTTCGATATATCTCTAAGAGAAGAATGATTTGCGTCTAATTTTCAAGATCTGGTGTTTACAAGGTTCAGAATAGCGACATTTTATAAATTTGGACGCGAATTTAACTTTTTTTATTGTATCTTGTCAAATGGTGCCTTTATTGTTTTTCATATATCTTTGTGGCACAAACAAGACTGTTCTTTTTGTTTTAGTTTTCGAAGCACAACACACAAAAAAAATCATCAACTGGATATTTGGAGAAGATTTCATGTAGTATGTTTTAACGGCTTACTTAACCATTTTTGGTTAATTTAAATGCGAAACATATTGTTTAGATTATGAGAAAAATTCTTTTTATTTTTCTTTATTCATCTTATTTTAGTTATTTATTTTTTGATGAGTGAATATATATATATATATATATATATATATATATATATATATATATATATATATATATATATATATATATATATATAATATTAATGCTCTGTAAATTTACATTGAGCACTATTTTGTAAAAATATCTATAAGAACACTGGATTGTATATATCTTACTCTTTCTTTTTATTATTTATATATATATATATATATATATATATATATATATATGAAATAATCCTAAAAAGCCAGGGACACCTACCTAGGTTTCACCTAAATGAATCATCAGGGTAAGCTAAAGTATCCTTGCTCTACTAAGCGTATTGAGCACTCTACGTTTTAGCTTTATTACTCGCTTGTTTTTTTTCTTCTTTGGACTAAAAACTTAAGGCACTGGACGATTTATTTCGCTCTCTTCGGATGTTTCTAGCTCTTTCTTTATTTTCCAATTTTTTTTCCTCGGGTACCAATTTGTTTTGATAGACTTACAAGGTGTGCTACCCGACGTTTTTTCCAACCGAATATTACTAATAGTAGTAGTAGTAGTGTATATATATATATATATATATATATATATATATATATATATATGTTGATGAGCGAATATTGCATTAACAATTTTGGAAGATAATAATCTTTCCAGCTACAGTTCCTATTATTTAATCCACTGCTGGTGAAGAAGATATGGATCCCTACCTTTACAAGAGGTTATTTGCGTGTGAATGAATTTTACCAACCCGACTGAGATTTGATCTCGTCTCTCCTAGATGAGTATATTGTGCTATTCATGGCACCACTACCTAGGAAAAAACAATACTAGAATGGCTTGAGAAATTCCTCTTTGGGTATAAGAATATTTTCGAATTAGTCTCAGAGAAATAATTATGAATAATTATATATAACATTCCATGGTTATAATTTATTTTTATTCGTAAGTATGAATTGGATCGTGATTACTATTCCAATGTTATAACTTATAACCATGGAATATTAGTGTTTGAGCCTTTTATATTATATTCTTTCTCTGTCCTGGACATTGAGTCCTACCTAGAGTCTATCCTCATGGAAATATATATATATATATATATATATATATATATATATATATATATATATATATATACCGCGTGTAACAGCAAAATCGTCTAAATCCTTGTACATCCCACAAAATGTTTAATATCTAAAAAAAACAAAAACACACCAAACTAATTGAATTTCTTTTTTCCAGGTTTTCAGAAAAGACATTGAGCCATCTTGGCGCCATCTTTCGTAAAAGTCACTGAAACACAATTTGAGTTATTCAGCTAGAAAGAGAACAGGTTAACATGGTTTTGTGTCAGTCCAATTGTCTTCCCAAATGAGCAATAATGAAAGGAAAAAAAGATCATTCAGGCCTTTAGTAATGGTACCAACATTCAAATTCTGTCTTCCATCTTCAAATTCTCTATTCACTACGAAAGTGTAAAAATACGTTTTAATACCAGCAATACATTTTTTAGCAAAAATATTACTGTCAATAAAAAATCTTGTCAGCCTTAAATAACCAATTGAGGTTGATATGCCGTAAAACAAACCAAACCAAACTGCACAAAAATCTTGTCGGCATTAAATAATCCATTGAGGTTGATATGCCGTAAAAACAAACCAAACCCAACCAAACCAAAACCCAAACCATAAAACAAACCAAACCAAACCCAAAAAATCTTTGTCGGCATTAAATAACCCATTGAGGTAGATAAAAAAAAAAAACAAAGCAAACCAAACCCAATAAAAATCTTGTCGGCATTAAATAATCCATTGAGGTTGATATGCCGTAAAACAAACCAAACCCAACCAAACCAGCAATAAAAATCTTGTCGGCATTAAATAACCCATTGAGGTAGATATGCCATAAAACAAACCAAACCAAACCAGCAAAAAATCTTGCCTATATTAAATAACCCATTGAGGTTGATATGCTGTAAAAAAAACAAAGCAAACCAAACCAGCAATAAAAATCTTGTCGGCATTAAATAACCCATTGAGGTTGATATGCATTAAATAACCCATTGAAACGTAAAAACAAAGCAAACCAAACCAGCAATAAAAAATCTTGTCGGCATTAAATAACCCATTGAGGTTGATATGCCCGTAAAACAAACCAAACCCAACCAAACCAGCAGTAAAAAATCTTGTCGGCATTAAATAAAACCAAAAGCAAAAGCCAACCAAACACACACAGACGCACAAAATGAAACAGACACAAACACACAGAGGCACATATGTTCGTTATTATGTTTTTCGTGTTTAGTGGCAAGCAGACGGGATACACAATATTAAAAAAAAACAATTTATATTTTTATTTCACCGCGGGTATCCATTAAAAATAGTGTTTGGAGTGATCAAACTTTTGGTTTAAAAATCAAACTATTCAATGTTTATATGAATATCGAAAAAAAATAATGACTTGTTTCGCTACGAGATCTGGTGTCATTTATTTTTTTTTTAAATATTATTGAACACAACAAAAATTAACTTGTATCCTCATAGAAATTGGATTTTGGATGAGGCTGCTTAAAAGGTAAATGTTTTTGGCGACATTGAGCAAAGGGCAAAGGTTATTTATCTATGGATATCGGGAAAAGGAGAAAGCACCATGCACGTTTTTTTTTTTCCGCATTGTAAAAGGACTGGAAGTAAAATTAGATACGTACCTGAGCTGCCATAAAACAAACGAATAATACTCAGGTATTTGAAACTTACCTGAAATCAAAAGAAATAAAAGCTCATTAGCGACAACAGATAATGATATTTAAATAACTACAAAACATATATGTTTTTTTCATAATCTTTTCAGGAGTTGAAGTTTATGGTCCTCCATAGATTTTGTTTTTACTTTCATGTTCTGCCACTCACCGACACAACATTTTACATATGTTACACCCTAATTCTCCTGTCACCCTCGCTTTTCATATGTCCGCTGAGTGTTAATTTCTCCGAGCCATCTTTCCTCATTACGTGTTCTAGAAATTGCATCTGTCTCTTCTTGATTCCAAGTGTCCTTTTCGATTTCATTTTACTTAAAACTATCTCGTTCTTCACGTGTTCCCTCCATGGTATTCTCAGTATCCTTCGGTAGGGCACCATATTTGTTGCCTTCTTACAACAGAAACAATAACTAAAACTAGCTTCGATTCTCCAGCTGGATAAACTTTAATTTCTAATTTTGACTCTCAAACAGTGACAAAACAGCGAAGAAGCCAACAGCAAACAACTCTCTTGACTTTCCCCAAAAGCCTGGCCCAAATCAGAGCTAGTCTTAGTTGTTGTTGCTTTCGGAAGTGTTTAGGGACACATTCACTTATTAACAGACTATGAAAAATATGACACCATAATCAGAAGTTACATTAGAATGTCGAAAGATGCCTTCCTGAAACTAAGCAAATTATTAAGAAACACGAAAATGTTCCTTCGTAACAAAGATAAAGGTGCTCAGATGCTACGTAATATCAATCCCCCGCTATCACATATGTAAAAAGCTTGTGCCGGTGAGTGGCAGAACAAGCATTGGTAGAGATTGTTACGAATCAAACGTTGCTATCGGAAAATGGAAATCGTGGAGTGTCATGATCGACCACGCCCTTAAGAGATCCGGCACATAGAATATCTGAAATCAGATAAATGAGGATTTCGTTCCAAGTATTAGACCAGATACTTTTAAATATCTGAATATGTACAATATGTGTGTGTGTATTTGTGTGTGTAGTTGTGTATGTGTTTGTATGTTTGTGAATGCGTGTGTGCGTACCAGAACGAATTGAAATGAGCAAAAGAAGAAATAAAAAGATGGCCGATTGGATGAAATTATATAAATATCAGCTAAATTTGAAACAATATGTGCATATACATTAATGGGCGAATGGTTGAATGAGTAGAGAGAACGGAAAGAAAGAAATTTCATCCAATCAGCAAGTCGTTTTGAGCGTCGAACCAGACGTTAATGAATACTTTCTGCAAACTCTTCGGTGAAGAGCACAGATTTCGTGCTAATCTGTGACCATCCTATGGCCATTGGGTTCACACAATGGAAAAAGTATTCGATTTTTATTCTTATTAGCACGTCCAGTGACCGAAGGTTCTGAATATTGGCCGGCGGCCCGAAAAAAAAGAAGAAGAAAAAAAAAAAAGAAAACTGAAAGGACGAGGCTATAAAAGAAAACGCAAAAGACAATGGACGAACCACTGAATTGGATGAAGAAAAAGAAAAAAAAAAACAGAGATGCGGTGATAAAGAAAGAGATGTAGAAAATAAAATGGACGAAGAAAAGAAGAAGAAGAAGAAGAAGAAGAAATAATAATAATAAGAAGAGAGACAATAAAAGGAAAGAGAGAATGAGAGAAAAAGGCAAAAAGAACGTCTCAATAAAGGCGCCGATGGCGAAGAGAAGTGACAAAAGCGAAAATGAAACAAAAAGAAAGTTAAGGACAATGAAGAGAAGAATGAAGACGAAGAAGATGAAGAAGAAGACGAAGAAGAAGAAGATGATGATGAAGAAGACGACGAAGAAGACGATGACGAAAACAAAGAAGATGATGATGAAGAAGAAGACGAAGAAGATGGTGATGAAGAAGAAGGCGAAGAAGATGGTGATGAAGACGAAGAAGAGGATGGTGATGAAGACGAAGAAGATGATGAAGAAGACGACGATGACGACGAAAACAAAGAAGATGATGATGAAGAAGAAGACGAAGAAGATAGTGATGAAGAAGAAGACGAAGCTGAAGATGATAATGAAGAAGGCGAAGAAGATGGTGATGAAGACGAAGAAGAAGGTGATGAAGACAAAGAAGAGGATGACGAAGAAGACGAAGTAGACGATGAAGAAGAAAACGAAGACGATGATGAAGACGAGGAAGAAGATGATGAAAGAGAAGAGGATGATGATGAAAGAGGGACGACAAAAGAGACAAGCCTCTGAGGAAGAAAATGAAGAAAAATTAAAAGAAAAAGAAAGAAAATCTAAGCAAGAAAACAACGACGAAAAAGACGAAAAAGATGATGAAGAATGAGACAAAGTAGAAGAAGATGGGGAAGAAGAAGAAGATGTTGATGAAGAAAACGAAGAAAAGTCACGACAAATGAGACAAGACTCTAAAGAAGAAAACAAAGAACAATTAAAAGAAAAAGAAAGAGAAGCTAAGAAAGAAAACGATTACGACGACGACCTAGAAGAAGAAGAAGAAGAAGAAGAAGAAGAAGAAGAAGAAGAAGAAGAAGATATCGAAGACGAAGAAGAAAATGATAATGATGAAGAAAAGGAAGAAGGGGGTACAAATCTTTAAAGAAAAATGGAAACAAGGAAAGAGAAGAAAGAAAAAAATGAAACAAAAACAGGAAAGAAAAGCGTGGCGAGAAAAGGGGAAGTAATTATGAGGAAGAAAGAAACGAAGAAGAAAGAAACGTAAGATAAAAGAGAAGAAAAATAATAGAGAAATCAAGAAGAAGAAGAAGAAGAAATAATTGGAACATGACAGAAGAGGAAAAAGAGGAAAACAGGGAAGAACTTTCAGTTGGTTAGGTTAGTCACGTGGTTTGGCGATTTATCCTTGCGACGACAAATTGCTCTAAATTAGCGCGAAATTGGGTCTTTGTTGATCCTGCTTCCCAAACTTATCGGCTGACTGATTGCAAACTGTTATATTCTTTGAATTTGTTCCCGTATCAATCTTTTTTTTCCTCTTCTAACAAGTTGTGTCACCCAATTTTCATTAGGGCTGGAATTGGATTAGTTTGAAAGCCAGACTTTAACTTGGGCCCAAAACTAGGCAAAGAAGTAACAAATGCAGAAAATGGTTTCTTGGAATTGTCATCTAGCCTCAATTCGTTTCCCATCTTGAGTCTAATATTTTTATCAGCTGATTTTTTTTTCTTTTTGTTAAATTTTTCTCCCTATCCACAGCCCGAAATGGAGTGTTGCGAAATGAGGTTTTTGTATAGACGTAAAAAGAAGATCCTTTTTTTTGTTATTTTTTTTACAGTAAGGTTTACTCTGTACAAGGTCACACGAGATAGAGGGTCACATCAAGGGGTAGTTTATACGGATAGGAGGTATAGATAACTGCTTACTCTAGACTTGAACGGATAAAGATCGTAGTGATCCGGGAATCGACATTTTAAGAGTCTGTTCCACAGGGCAGTGGTTCACGGTAAGAAGCTGTTTGAGTGGAACTTACTACTCGCCGATGAAATACGGGGGGAATGTGGGTGTTTTGCTACTATGTAAGTGGCATAGTGGGTTCTAGCCGTCAAGGTCAGACCTAGTAGAGCCAGGAAATGAAGTTCGCCCTAGTATTTTCCAAGTGCAGATTATGAGATATGTTTAAGTATATTAGAATTTTGAATGTATCAGGTGCATTGTCAGTGGTAGTACGTTTGTAGGGAAGCAGTCAATCCTGCTTTACTTAGATGAACAGGGACGCAAAACTGTAATGGTATACAGCGTATATACAACTCTCACACATGCCCCCAAGAAGTGGGCCGGCCGAAACCCGGTCAACAGCATCGAACTCTGTGGGGATAGTTGAATGGGTTTCCCGACTCGGCCGGTGAAGGGAAACGACTCTCCGCAAACGAACATGTTTCCAGTCGTCGACCTAGGCGTAGGAGGTACGCCTCAGAAGTCAACGGCTTTGGGGAACTTCTGGAATGTTACAGAGACAGGATAGTGAGACATCAGCACCATCAGGTAATATGATTAAACATTATCTAGATTTTTTGCCATAGAGTACAGCCATGACAGGACACTAAATCATGACATTGAGAGACGCAAGCGGAAAGCACTACATCCCAAAAATTGAATTCACTAAATATCAATACAACGGCGCCGAAATTATAGCCCTACTAATAGGAAAGCCTCCTCTAATGTTCGGATTCCGGACTATTAAGTTGATAACGTCAGTCTAGAAAACCTTTACCACCAGCACGCTTAATGAGGTTTGATTGATTTATTTATTTTTTACGACTTATCAACTCTTCATCATGGCATATTTTTTTCTTTTCTCATTATAATTAATATAATTTCGCAAAAAAAAAAAAAAATTGAAGATGATTTTCTATTTCATCAAACGCATGAGAGTACAATATTTACATTATTCGGACTATTGTCCTCATCTTTGTTGCCATATTTATTACAACGTTTCGGCCCTTCAGTATTTGTCTATATTTCTGAGATGAGGTATTATGTACACTATTTACATTATTCGGATTATTGTCCTCATCTTTGTTGCCATATTTATTACAACGTTTCAGCCTTTCAGTATCTGTCTATATTTCTGAGATGAGATATTATGTACACTATTTACATTATTCGGAGTATTGTCCTCATCTTTATCGCCATATTTATTACAACGTTTCGGCCTTTCATTATCTGTCTATATTTCTGAGATGAGGTATTATATACACTATTTACATTATTCGGACTATTGTCCTCATCTTTGTTGCCATATTTATTACAACGTATGGCCTTTCAGTATCTGTCTTTATTTCTGATATGAGGTATTATGTACACTATTTACATTATTCGGACTATTGTCCTCATCTTTGTTGCCATATTTATTACAACGTATGGCCTTTCAGTATCTGTCTATATTTCTGAGATGAGGTATTATGTACACTATTTACATTATTCGGACTATTGTCCTCATCCTTGTTGCCATATTTATTACAACGTTTCGGCCCTTCAGTATTTGTCTATATTTCTGAGATGAGGTATTATGTACACTATTTACATTATTCGGACTATTGTCCTCATCTTTGTTGCCATATTTATTACAACGTATGGCCTTTCAGTATCTGTCTATATTTCTGATATGAGGTATTATGTACACTATTTACATTATTCGGATTATTGTCCTCATCTTTGTTGCCATATTTATTACAACGTATGGCCTTTCAGTATCTGTCTATATTTCTGAGATGAGGTATTATGTACACTATTTACATTATTCGGACTATTGTCCTCATCTTTGTTGCCATATTTATTACAACGTATGGCCTTTCAGTATCTGTCTATATTTCTGATATGAGGTATTATGTACACTATTTACATTATTCGGACTATTGTCCTCATCTTTGTTGCCATATTTATTACAACGTATGGCCTTTCAGTATCTGTCTATATTTCTGAGATGAGGTATTATGTACACTATTTACATTATTCGGACTATTGTCCTCATCATTGTTGCCATATTTATGACAATGTTTCGGCCTTTCATTATCTGTCTATATTTCTGAGATGAGGTATTATGTACACTATTTACATTATTCGGACTATTGTCCTCATCTTTGTCGCCATATTTATTACAACGTTTCGGCCGATGTACGCTCCGGCCATCTTCCGGTGGTTGGAATATCGAATGTGTCCTTGAGGATACATGGTACAGTGGACAAAGGCGTTGCTTAGATCTAGTGACAGGACCCACAGAATGTGAGTTCAATACCCGGTTAAGGTGGTGGAGAACTTTCAATGGGGAATTAACAGGAGATAACTGATAACTGACATCCATTAAACATGGCACGTGGAACTAGAACAGTCTACTCCATTGAGCGAAATAAAGGGTTCAGTTCGACATTCTAACCACCTGAAGAAGGCCGGAGCGTACAACGGCCGAAGCGTAATAAATATGGCAACAAAGATGAGGACAATAGTCCGAATAATTTAAATAGTGTACATAATACCTCATCTCAGAAATATCGACAGACGCATGAGAGCATTGAAGATGTTTTTTTTCTATTTCATTGAAGCAGACCTTAAGCGCAGGAGAGCATTATCGACAACTCCATCTTCCCTTTCTTATTCTTTCATTATTTATTTCTTCTTATTAATAAATATGATTCCTTTTTGTCCTCGATCTCCCCTTTTTCTTTCTTTTTTGTTTTTTTCTTTCTTTGTTTTTTCTTTCTTTGTTTTTTTCTTTCTTTCTTATTCTGTACCCTTTCCTTTTCTCACTAAAACTAAACATCGTTTCTGCTATAACTTATCCTTCCGTCTTCCGCGAGAATCCAAACGGAATGGTCTATTATTTATCTGCGGTAATAGCAGGGCGTAACATACAAAATAGCAAAGGAACAAACAGCACTGTAATATGATTTTTCTTTCAAGAACTTTTATTTTCGTTACCTACTAGAATCTGTTGCTTATTCAGATTGTTGGGCCAATCGTGTTACTCCATAACACTATCACGCTATGGTGTATATACATCAAAACTAACTTAAATTATCATTATCGTCTGGTTCACAATCCACTTGGGTCTTTTGACCAGGAGTAGAGGTTTATCCCTTGTTTTCTCTTAAGGATTAGGTTTCTGTTTCCTTGCCAAATTTTCTCCTTCTCTTTCTTTCCCAATAACGTCTTGAGTCTTAGTGACATTATCGCCTTATTTGGGTTGAACTTACTAAAAAATAAAATGTAATCTAGCAAATCATGTACTGAAGTCAGTTCTCCCTGGATGCATCTCACGTTAGCGAAAAGTAGTTCGGTTGAAATGTCTCGGAGCGCCGACTGTCAAAGAATTCCGACAAATTATAGAGAGAAGTCAATCCTCATTGAGTTCACGGGTTAAGCCGAGTAAATATCCCTACTAAGAAGACACGAGATAAAAATAAGAAGATAAGAGGAAAAAATAGGACAGACAGGATGAAACGAAAGAAAGGACACGAAAGAAAGAAGTGGGGGGATATAGAAAAAGGCGGGAAAAAAGAGGAAAAGAGAACGAAGAAAAACATGAAACGGAAAGAGAGATTAGAAGACTCGCCTAAATGAAACAAGGGAATGAGAGAGAGGAAAAAGATTCAGATATTAAAGGATAATCATTTGAACAGAGGTAAGTGAATAATGATATCCAAACGAAGTCGGTCTGTTTATTATTCGGTGCAATGACAAGAGAGAGAGAGAGAGAGAGAGAGTGAGAGAGAGAAAGTGAGAAAGAAAGAGTGAGAGAGAAAGAGAGAAACAAAGAATGAAAGAGAAACAGAGATAGAAAAAGAGAGATAGAGAAAGAGTGAGAGAGAAAGAGAAAGAGTGAGAGAGAAAGAGAAAGAGAAAAAGTGAGAGAGAAAGAGTGAGAGAGAAAGAGTGCGAGAGAAAGAGAGATAGAGAGAGAGAAAGAGTGAGAGAGAAAGAGAGATAGAGAGAGAGAGAACGTGAGAGAGAAAGAGTGAGAGAGAAAGAGTGCGAGAGAAAGAGAGATAGAAAAAGAGATAGAGAAAGAGTGAGAGAGCAATAGAAAGAGAAAGAGTGAGAGAGAAAGAGTGAGAAAAAGTGAGAGAAAGAGTGAGAGAGAAAGAGTGCGAGAGAAAGAGAGGGAGAAAGAGTGAGAGAGAAAGAATGAGAAAGAGAAAGAGTGTGAGAGAAAGAGAAATATAGAGAGAAAGAGTGAGGGAGAAAAAGAGAGAGAAAGAGAGAGAGAGTGAGAGAAAGAGAAAGAGAGATAGAGAAAGAGTGAGAGAGAAAGTGAGAGAGAGAAAGAGTGAGAGAGAGAAAGAAAGAGAGAAAGAGAGAGATTGGGAAAAGGTCAAGACAACATCAACGACGGCGACGAGACTGACAAACGAGAACGAGACTTTATCAATAGCCGTTCTAACACTTCTCTCGCTGCTCCAAAATGCCTCACTTTCAATCTTAATTGAGATTAGTGGGATCTTTCCAGTGGGCAAATCACCAGGAGTCCACTCAGGCAAGCAGCTTAGATCCTGGCCGTTTTCTTATGCGTTAATGAGGATTAAGAGTACCGGCTACTGGAGATTTCTAGCAAGAGAAGTACTTGGGTATAGAGTTAGAGAAAACATGGCGGACGATCGGTCGGTGGGTCGGTCGGGCGTGCGGATGGTATCTTTCGTAAAGAATGGAGGGTTGACCTGCTTGGCATGTCTAGTCTCGGCTGGTTTATCCGCTGGCTTGTTTAAGAAGACGAATGCGGCGAAGGGGATTCAGAATCAACGTGAAACAATATTCATTCATCAATCTCTCTTCGCCATTTACTTTCCTCTCACGTTCTTCTCGTTCTTCTCGTTCGTTTCTCTCTCTTCTCGCGAGACATTTCGGGAAAACGATGTTTAGAGAAGTCAAATAGTTACAAAATGATTTGGTAACACCCACACTATAATCACCTCAACGTTAACAATTATAACAGACACACAACTATGACTACTTCTACTAATAATAATATAACTTCTACTAATAATAATAATATCTAGAAGTAACTGGGAAATGATTACGACATTGTTATTTTAATTTTCTTATTAATTATGATACTTCGACGACTATAAACTCCATTGTCTCGTTATATATTTGAGCACAGCAGCGTTAAATAGAGATTGCAATAGCAATCGTAAGTATAAATGCAGGATATTATTTAAAGAAGTAAGACGATACAAATGAAAAGAATAAAAATTATCAAAGTTTTTCATTTCACCGTTAGCTACATGAGAGCGTTATCGCCTTCTCTACCTCCCGTTCTTTCTTTCTGCTGTAACGCTGTCTTTGTTCAAAACTGCCAAGTATCGAAGGGTCAGAAGGCTAGACAGAGAAAACAAAAGAGAAGGGGTTTATTAAATATTCATACATAGTAGATATATTATATATCGTCCGGTTCTAACTCCTCCCTGAACAGGAGTAGATTTATCCCTTGTTTCCTGTTTAGGATTAGCATTCCGGTTGCTTCTAAAGACTGTCTCATCTCTATACTCTTAGAGCTTGTTATTTTCTACGCTAATACATCTCCACACAGTGGGCCTATAGTTTGAGTGGCTCTTAGGCCTTGTATTGAGCAAACATTAGTAAAAAAAAAAGCCAACGGGAAAACTTCTGATTGTGAGATTGGAGGTTTTGAGGAGCGTAGAACCACATGTTAAATGCTGTTGTTCCCAGATCCACCCTAACTGGGGGTGGTAGCACCTGTTAGGGTCCCAGCTATGGTCAAATAGTGAACCCCCAAACAAAAACAAAACACTGTGATTGTATAAAAATACGTTGTATAGTAAAATGACCCTCCTGGATGTGATGATAAACTACACCCGCGTCCTGGGTAAGACGATAAACTATGTCCAACAGCAAGGGGTCGAAACACTATGCAAGTGTAAAAACAGGTTTTAATACTAGCAATACGTCTTTGTAAAAGATTATTGCCAGCAATGCATTTTTGAAGAAAAAATTATCACGAGCAATACAATTTTGGAAAAAAAAAACAAACAAAAAAAAAATTGAGGTTGATATGCCGTAAAACAAAATAAAGCAAACCAAAGAAGCAATAAAAATCTTGTCGGCATTAAATAATCTATTGAGGTTGATATGCCATAAAAGAAACGAAACCAGCAATGACTAATTACAGGCGAATGACTAACAATACATTTTATCTGTAGTTCAAGGCATATAATTGCGTTCAAAATATTTAGATTTCAGCATTAAATAATGCACCATAGTTGATATACCACTAAACAAAATCAAGCAAACGATCAACATGAAAGAACTCTTTCATGACATTAATCAATGTCTTATTCTACAGTTTTTTTTTTACAGAAATCAAACTGTATTCCAAAATATAAATTCAATAAAACTACAACAGAAAATACACTTATCAACACCTCTAGTAATTATGTACGCACAAACATGAATATGCATAAAAGCTGAGTATCATCTACCATGTATTCAAATGTGAAAGCAGAATAACATATATCTTACATTTATTATTTCAAAGCTACCAAAAAAAAAAACATTTTGGCCGTAAAATGACCCATAAGGTTGTTTACAGTTAAACAAACAAAATCAAATACCACTCTAATAGACCTACTTGCCATATTTATAAGTAGGAGAAGTCCATTTTCACATAGTTGCAGTATAAAGCTCGTGGTGTCTCTGTGTGTGTTAAAATGTCCCTGAACAAATGTTTGCAAAAGGGACTGGCTAGACGCCCTATTTGGTGCGTGTGCTCGGAAATGCGCAGTTGACCATTATATATATATATATATATATATATATATATATATATATATATATGATGTAATGAATATGCATCAACCTGGGTTCACCCTCACAGTAATAGAGACTTATGTAGAGATACATGAGCCACGCCTATTGTCTTCGCCTACTGCTTACGCCTATTGCCTACCAGTACGACGAGGACCAGTCCATTACGGTCACCTGCTAGATTGTCGTATTCGGTTACAGTAGTCCAAAACCACTTTGCTACTTCGAACAAATATATCCCTTTCGGGGACATATCAAGATAAATAAATATATATATATATATATATATATATATATATATATATATATATATAAAGGAAATATGTTGTAGTGGTTCCAACGAGAGAAAAGTATGTATATTAAAAAAGAAGAGGGGGTGCCGCAAACGTTTTTGGTTGTAATGTGGATTTATTGAGAAAAATATTATACTTTGTTTTACATAATTTCGACACGTGTTTCTGGTCTGGTCTCGCAACCGTCTTCAGGTGAAAGTGGAGATTTTTACATATTATTAAAATAATTAATTTTTCTTCATGTTCAAATGGAATATTCTCGATATGAGACATTCTGTTTTGTGTGTTGGCAATCCGAATTTTCTTTCTAGAATTGTCAATGAAGAGTTCTGCGTGAAGGGTCATAAAACAATTAAGGTTTGTCCAGCGAGTAGTTATCGGCATTTAATCTTTTAATGTTTTAGTGACCTCTATGTGCTCTTGGATCTGTTTCTATTTTGGCGTGTTCCTGTCAGCATGCGTGTATATATGCGTGCGTATATTTCCTTACTACGAGGAATTCGTAAACTTATTTGTACTTATACACGCATACACACACATACGCACATACACACTATCCCACCACAAGTAGTCAGTACACACACACATATACACACATATTTCCCAAGCTACATGGAACCAGTACACACACACACACACACACACATACATACACACGCACACACACACACGTACTTCTTAAGTTGTCAACATCCGCATATACATACATAAATGTATGTATGTGTACATACATATATATATCTCTCCTCGTGTCTCCCGTATATGAGTGTGCGTCCATGTATGTGAGCGATCATTGTATTTGGTCACCCTGTGTGCATGTTTTTTTTTGGGGGGGGGTTACGATCTATTCAGTTCGGGTTTGAATTTGTCTATAAAGTTTTTTTCCTGTATTTGTAGATACGAGTAATTGTCTGTTTGATATTGTCTGGTGGGATAGTGTGTATGTGCGTATGTGTGTGTATGCGTGTATAAGTACAAATAAGTTTACGAATTCCTCGTAGTAAGGAAATATACGCACGCATATATACACGCATGCTGACAGGAACACGCCAAAATAGAAACAGATCCAAGAGCACATAGAGGTCACTAAAACATTAAAAGATTAAATGCCGATAACTACTCGCTGGACAAACCTTAATTGTTTTATGACCCTTCACGCAGAACTCTTCATTGACAATTCTAGAAAGAAAATTGGATTGCTAACACAAACAGAATGTCTCATATAGAGAATATTCCACATTGAACATGAAGAAAAATTAATTATTTTTAATAATATGTAAAAATCTCCACTTTCACCTGAAGACGGTTGTGAGACCAGACCAGAAACACGTGTCGTGAAATTATGTAAAACAAAAGTATAATATTTTTTTCTCAATAAATCCACATTACAAAAAAAAAACGTTTGCGGCACCCCTCTTCTTTTTATATATATATATATATATATATATATATATATATATATATATATATATATATATATATATATATATGTGTGTGTGTGTGTGTGCAAGCTTAAAAGCCGCTCTAAGTCTTTGCATATTCTCACCATTGGAAACTCTTCTGGCTGACGTTTGATCTGGGTTTTCATTTACATGGGACTTTCTTTTCTTCACTCCGGCCTTGGATCTTTTGATTGGAATCTGGTCCTCTTTTGACGTACATTTCTTTCTGCGAGGCATTCTGCTGCCGTATGCAATAGGCAACAATAAACTACAGAAGAACTCAAAATTGGTCGCTGCATATAAGTATTGCATTAATATTTAAGCTTACTTTTTAAAAATTCTTCTGTCGCTATTTAATTTAAAGGCAATTTGATGTACGTAGGTCCTTACTTCCGTACAAACAATTATTTTTATTTCATGGGTGACTTTCTCTGGATTTCGCAATTAATTCTGAGACAATTACCAACCAATGTCTCAGGAACATCCTCAATATCTGATGTCCGGACGTCGTCTCCAACGACCAACTGAGGGACAGAACAAGACAAGACCCAATTGAGATTGACATCAAGAAACAGAAATGGGGATGTATCAGCCACACACTCCGCAAACCTGCTTCTAGTGTCATCAGGTAGGCCCTTGACTGGAATCCACAAGGGAAACGAAATGTCGGCCGACCAAAACAGACTTGGTGCAGAGGTACGACATGGAGAAATATTGTTCCGACCCTATGCTCCTCAAAGGAATCAAGACGCTTAAACAAGATAGGCGGTTTTTAAACTAGTATATTATAAATTTCAACCGATAATAACATTGGCTGCCAGGTCAATCAAAGTCAAATATTTCCTTGTTTCCTTATATTATTGCTCGTGAAATCTCCACCGTATCTTAGGCGTGGCTCAGAAGTGTTGACGCAGAGGTGAAGGCAGCCGGCACGACTTTGGCCGAGATAAAGAGGATCGCCCGGAACCACGTCCGTTGGAGATAGGTTGTTGCGACTCTCTGTTCCTCAAGGAATCAAGAGCAATAATAATAATAATAATAATAATAATAATAATAATAATATAATATTTGCCAAATTTATTTCCAAGTTTTAAAAATTGTTATCGCACAAAGAAAAAAAAAATGTCGCGAATGATCGCCAGAAACAATCGTCGTAATGAAAACTTGGGACTCGAAAATATCACGATTGAGGGTCCGGATGCAAAAATGATATATATATATATATATATATATATATATATATATATATATATATATATATATATATATATATATATATTTAATGAAAAAACAGACCACTTTAAGGTACCATTACAATAATTTATTTCACCAAAATCCTTTTTGAAGGACTCCGGATCATCAGGTAACAATTCCAACAACGAAATGAAAGGAAAAATGGGTTTAGAAATTGATGGGTAGTGTAATTTTTGTAATTTAACAGTGATCGTGGTAGTCAACGAGACAAGGTATAGTATATATATATATATATATATATATATATATGATGTAATGAATATGCCTCCACCTGGGTTCACCCCTCACAGTAATACAAACTGAAGTAAAGGAGTAAAGATGAAAATTGTGCATTCTGTATGTGTATGTGGGTATGTTTGTTTTTTGTGTGTCAAATAGACATACACACATAATCACAGATGTAATGACATACAAACATCTCCATACTATTTGTTTTAAACAATATTTCTATTTTTCATTCCTTACTCTTTCCCCTACATATTCTCTGACAGAAGGATGCGAATATTCTAGATTTTTTATTTCTATATTCAGTAGGCTTTGGAAGCGATCTTTTAATCTGGTAGAATTTGCATTTTTAGATCACCGATTTTTTTTTTTAAGAAGCGGGAACAATAAAACCGATGCGTTGCTCGCCATTTTTCCTCAAGAAAATAATTTTTTCTTGGTCCAAACAATAATGGCAATATCTAATTTGATTTCTGGTAAAGGATGCCGAAAAATGACTGGAAATGTGGGGAAAAAAGCCTGATATTCAAATAATTGAAAGATAAAAGTAACACCCCCGACTCTGTCCACTTTCTTTTTCATATTTGCTACAATTTTTTTAATATTTTTACTTTTATCATTTTATTCAATGGATAAAAGGAATATTTATCATAATATTTAAATGGTTTTTCTTGTATAACTTTAGTCATTTCTTTCTATCTATCTATCTATCTATCTATCTATCTATCTATCTATCTCAGTCTTTTCATATCTATCTATCTATCTATCTATCTATCTATCTATCTATCTATCTATCTATCTATCGCAGTCTGTTCGTATCTATCTACCTATCTATCTATCACACTCTGTTCATATCTATCTATCTATCTATCTATCTATCTATCTATCTATCTACCTATCTATCTATCTATCTATCTATCTATCTATCTATCTATCGCAGTCTGTTCGTATCTATCTATCTATCGCAGTCTGTTCGTATCTATCTATCTACCTATCTATTGCAGTCTGTTCATTTCTATCTATCTATCTGCTTCTTCCCATACATTACACACACACACACACATATATATATATATATGCCATTCTCTTCTTTATCTATCTATCTATCTATCTATCTATCTATTTGAGAAGTCTCGGCCAGGAAAATACAACCCACCATAGTTTATGTAATTCTATTTGGCTTCGAAAGCCAACGTGATCATTTCTTTTCGACCAAATAAAGACGTGCATGCGCACATAATCACCGACTCCGTTCAGATGCGCTGTATATTTTTATACACGCCTCCCTCTTATAGTAAATATCTTCAGTCAATAGTTTCAGTTATGAGGGAAGGTCGGTGTTTATTCAAAGAAATTTTATTACCATACCAAAGAACGTTAACTTGTCAGAATACCATAATTTTGATTAAGTTCTTACAAAATTACACACACACACACACACACACACACACACACACACACACACACACACACACATACACACACACATATATATATATATATAAATGAACATAGAAGTCAAGCTGTTTCATGCAAAACGCAAACGTCAGACGTCGGGGCCTGATGATTGCATATAGCATGAAACAGACTGTCGCCTCTAAGTGTTGACTTCTATGTTCCTTTTATTTACACACGCTCTATCTCTGATATTGAGCACTTTTATACCATAAATATAGAACACCTTTTTTTTATATTTCTTCATATATATATATATATATATATATATATATATATATATATATAAATTGATAAATATACGAGCGTTCGTTCAAATACAAACACACACACACACACATATATATATATATATATATATATATATATATATATATATATATATATATATATATGTAGCCTCGTTTCTCAACCTTTTTACCCTTGCGTAATCCTTGAAATTAATTTTATGTCTCAAGGAAGCCCTGCGCAGAAACAAAATTATAGAACATATCTTTGTAATTTTATTTTCATCGGAGTTCACGTGGTAAATAACAGTATATTTTTGAATAACTGGCTTCAGGGAAAATTAATATTTCTTTGTCAAATTTTTCGGTAATGCTAAATATAATTTCATACTGTTCGTTTATAACAGTTCATTAGGGAGTTTTCATTCGCACAATAATATATTCTAAACTCAAACATAATAAATAAACCTATGTAACCAATATCTTATATCTATAATATATATGTAAACAGAACGAAAACAGATAATAACTTCAGTTTTTTTTTTCTTCTTGTACTGGCAATGTTAAAAAGACAATGGTAAATCAATAATTAAATAAAATGTCAAAAGTGTATTAGCTTATCTCTGTTTTCGGAGAACCCTTGAGGAACTTTTGCGGAACCTTAGTTTTCCGTGGAACCCAGGTTGAGAAACGCTGCTCCATAGTTTAAGTTCTCAATGTTAAATAACACAGCTATTTAATATATTAAGAAATATACATATCATAGATTGATTGCACATCTCTGAGTTTCATACATATGAAACCCAGAGTTGTTCAGTCAATGTAAGATATTATGTATATTTCTTAATATATATATATATATATATATATACATATATATATGTATGTGTGTGTGTGTGTGTATGAAAATTTTTCAGAGTTAACTTGAGAAACTGAAACCAACTACACTCTTCCGTGGTATCATATTGCATAGAAATAATAACGAACTCAATTTTGATGTTTACAGAAAGGCTACAAACAAAAATGATCTGATCAGTTTCTACTCAACCCACTCTTCTAAAATTAAATCTGGAATTATTATAGGTTTCTATCTAAGAGCATTAAGAAACTGTAGTCCCCAATATTTACTTAAAGAAGAAACATACATAGAAAACACATTCAAAAACCTACAATACCCATATCATTTCATCCACAAAGAAGAAAGGCATGCAAAATATACTAACGAAACAAAACTAATAACATAATCCGCAATAATAAATCACATGAAAACAGATGCATAATACTACCGACCAACTCTGTCACGTCCACTATCCAGAATAACCTATCCCATCTGAATAATCTTAGAATAGTTACAAACATTTCCAAAACCATTATGGATATATACAGATCCTCAAATACTAATAGCAATAATATTTCTGAAGCAAGCATTTATAAAATAAATTGCCAAAACTGTTCATCTCACTCTATTGGAGAAACTAGTAGAAATTAAAAAAACAAAAAAAAAAACGCATTTATGAGCACATAAGAGACCTTTTAAAAACAACTTAACTAATTTTTTTATTAGTGTCCGAGAAATTTTCAAAGAAAATATGCTTCCCCCAACAGGAATCGAACCTGGATTACTATACGGAACCGTCATATAGCCTGCCGTGCCTTAACCAATTGGGCCACAGAGGAGCAATGTCAATTTTTACTGTTTTTAACACAATTCTCTATGATTTTCTCTCATGCAATCATATCTGCTCAATGCGTATCAAATATAAACAAATGACTTCACACATTATGAAATATACAAAGTCTGACAGTCATTTTTAAAAACATTTTATGTTTATACGTTCTTTTTATAGAAGTAAATGGTAAATGTTGTTAATATTGTTTATTATAAACAGAGTATTTACTTAAATATTTGTATCTATAAAAAGAACGTATAAACATTAAAAAATTTCTTAAAATAATCGTTAATATAGTTCATAGCGGTGAATTACGTAATTACTTTTCTATTTCAAGAAATGATGAACTAGACGTATTTTCTCATCGTTCAAAGTTGCTTCGACATTTGGTTGACTAATAAATTCTTTCCGGTAAAAATATGTCCTTTCTTCCCGATCATCCTAGCATATACACACAGCTTGTTGTAAATATATGAAAATATACAAGTAGCTTTTGTTTTCTGATGTCGACCACTTACAAGCAACTTTTTGTCATTTGACTCGCGTCAAATATATATGTGGTGGTTATGTTCGTGGCTTGGTCATTTTTTTTTTAAGCCGGCTCTCTCTCTTTCCTTTTTAGTTTCATCTGAGGCGGCTAAGTGAAAATGTTTCCCGCTTTTCGATGTCACGTGTCGCCCGGTATTGATTTGTTTTTGCCGTGGGATTTCCTTCTACACCGCTTGCATATTTCTAATCCTGACCAAACCGTTAACACCAAGCCAATCTGCCCGGACGACGCCGTGCGATTAATGCAATGAAATAGATTTGGAATGTCATTTTGTCTTCCTTTCTTTATTTGTATTTATATTGTCTCGTGTTTTTTTTTTGTTTTTTTTTTGTGTGTGTGTTTTTAATTTTTTTTATTCTATCTTTATTCGTTTATTCCCTCCCCCCTCAAATCTGGATGCGGGTGCAGTTTTCTTCAGTCGTTCTTTACTTACTAACAAAAATGGCAATATTTACTTTCTACTGTCGGATTGTATCGTTTCTTTCTTGCTAAATTTGATCGCTCTTTTTTTTACTTTTTCTTTTCGAGATAACCTTTTTCTTTCTTTCTTTTTTATTTTCTTTCTTTCTTTTTTATTTTCTTTCTTTCTTTCTTTTCTACTTTTTTTCGTCTTTCTTTATTTTATACTTCGACCCCCCCCTCCGCCTTCACTATCGGCCTCTTTCACATTTTTTTCCATTTTGATATTTTTTTTTGTTTTACTTCTCGCTTTTATGAGACAATAATCCATCACTATCTATTGCAAGCGTTCACATGAGATCCGTTATTTCATTCCGTCTATCTAGACATTTCCAGCAATGAAACGCTATGTCACTTCCACCGACTCGATTCACTATCATTTCCCCCGTATTCCAAATGTAAAACGAATGTTATAGCTGGATATCTTTTCCCCAAAAATGAATTTTGAAAAAAAAAAAAAAATGATTACCAGCAAAACATTATTACAAGGAATACTTTTTGGGAAAAAATATTAGCAGTAATAAAAATCTTGTCGGCATTAAATAACTCATTGAGATTGAATTGTCGTAAAACAAACCAAACCAAACCAAATTCTTCCTTTCCTTGGTTCTTTCTTTCTAATGGCATTTCTTTCTTTCTTTCTTTCTTTCTTTCTTTCTTTCTTTCTTTCTCATCACTATTTATCCTTTTAATTGTATTTTCTTTCTTTCCCGTCACCTTTTCTTTCTTTTACACCGTCTTCTTTCTTTCTTTCTTTCTTTCTTTCTTTCTTTCTTTCTTTCTTTCTTTCTTTTAATTCCTGATGTTCGCAGGTCCATCATGACCCGGGCTGTTAGGGTCCCAGCTATGGGCAAATAGTTAACCCTGAAACCGGGGTAAAAACACTATGAAAGTGTAAAACTAGGTTTTATATACCAGAAATACTTTGTAAAAAAAATATTACCAGCAATACATTTTTGAAAATTTTTTCCCCGCAGTTGGTTGCAATTTCTTTCTGTGGTAGACTGGTTGCCAACCAATGCTAAAGAACACAGCCTGTCCCGCTATTCAAGCCATAGCTGGGAAGAAGAGATGGATTCATACCTTTCCCCATGGGTGCTTCAGTGAATCAAACAAACTCGACTGGATTTCGAACCCAGTCTTTGTCGACAATCTAAGAATTCAATTATCTGAAATTTTTAATTATCCGAAAATATTTGTTCAACCCCTGTCTCAATTTTTTGCGGATAATCGAACAAATACTGTATTCAACTCTGGGCATTTTTTTTTTTTTTTTCGTGTGTCTCATTGAACTTTTTTCTTATATTTGGTTCTAAAGAATCTGCAACTTTACGTAGAAAGAGTGGAAAATAAATATTCCCGCACATTGGCCATGTCGACGTAGTGTAATGGTTAACAAGCTTGTTTCGTTAGATCAGTTAGAACTGAGTAGTGGGTTCGATTTTCACTGAGTGCCCTATAATTTCAGCAATGAGCCGCATCTAAGCTACGCTTAGAAAACCATTTGGTCAGTTCGAGATGGTGTAATGGTTATCAAGCTTGTCTCTCTAGAACAATCATGACCGAATAGTGAGTTCGATCCTCACTAGGTGCTCTGTACTTTTGTCCTTATGCCACACCTAAGCCACGCATAAAAATCATTTGGGTTCTTTGCCGTTGTGTTAGCAAGCTAGTCTCACAGGATCAATTCTGAGTAGTGAGTTAGATGCTCAATCTGTGACACATGTTTTTTTCCTTGTGCCACAATTAAGCTATGCTTAGGAAACCACCATGAAACAATGTCAATAGTTTTAAACCTGTTCAAGGCTGAAATTGTTAACTAAACTACCAGATCATTAAGAGCATAATGAGTTCGATTCTCACTGGCGGCCCTACTTTGGTCCCATTGACCAACGCGATAACATCGATATCGTGGAGCAATTGTCTTGCAAATATATACAAGTCTAGTCAGTTCGAGTCTCAAGAACACAACACAAAAATATCTTTCTACTATGATATGTTTAAATACTATATTTCATAAATGTTCACCTAAAACAAGGCTATCCAAGTAGGATAGATAACGGTTGACCCTATACTTGAAAAGTCCAATAAGATAGTAATCGGTGAAACATTCTATTCAGAGTCTCTTCAATAAAGTTCGACAAAGAAGCAGTTCTACAAGCAGTCTGTTCCACAAAGTAACAGTTTCACAATGAGTTTGTTCCACAAGGTAACGGCAACATAAGGAGTCTGTTCCACGAAGTAACAGTTTCACAATGGGTCTGTTCCACAAATTAACAGCTCCACCAGGATCCTTTACCACAAAGTAACAGTATCACAATGGGTCTTTTCCACAAGGTAACAGCTCCACATGGAGCCTGTTCCACAAACTTAGTTTCACAAGGAGTCAAAATGTGTCTGTTTCACATAGTAACAATTTTACAACGAGTCTATTTCACAAATTAACAACACCACAATGAGTGTTCCACAAATTAACAGCGCCACAATGAGTCTGTTCCACAAAGTAACAGTTTCACAATGAGTCTGTTCCACAAGGTAACAGCTCCATCAGTAATCTTTTGCACAAACTAACAGTTTCACAATGAGTCAGTTCCACAAAGTAACAGCTCCGCCAGGAGTCTTTTCCACGGTTTCACAATGAGTCTGTTCTACAAGGTAACAGCTCCGCCAGTGGTCTTTTCCACAAAGTAACAGTTTCACAATGAGACTGCTCCATAAGTTAAAGTCTCCACCAGGAGTCTTTTCCACGAAGTAACAGTTTCACAGTGAGTCTATTCCACAAAGTAACAGCTCCATCAAAAGTCTTTTGCACAAAGTAACAGTTTCATAATGAGTCTGTTCCACAAGGTAACAGCACCACAACGAGTCTGTTCTACAAAGTATCAGTTTCACAAAGAGTCTTTTTCACAAGGTAACAGCACCATCAGGAGTCTTTTCCACAGTTTCACAATGAGTCTGTTCTAGAAATACCATGCCCAATTATTTGAATCCAGCACTTGCTCGATTATCCGGAAGCTGAGTGAAACTTCCTTCTTACTAATGGAATCCGAAGAGAATAAGGCTTATTTGACCAAGTGCAGCTGTTATGGCTGTTCCTAGCTGTAAATATCTGAACTGTGGAAATAATTCTTGAAGTTCGTCTAAACATTTACCATGGCAATAGCGACAGGTTGTAGGAAAGAGGCTGCAGTATTGAAAAATTTGCCTACAAGGCTGCATAAATTTTTTTTTTTAACATAGACTAATCGAGAAAGGGGGGATTGCGCAGCGCCAACCCTATGTCAGACTGTGCAGCTCCAGCCCAGATATACCAGATATTGTTATTTCACACCAACTCCACTGGTCGACCCATATTTGTGACCTTGCTTTGTAGAAAGTTAGATTTGCTAAATATCGATAGTCCTTAGACGAACATGGATTTTTAGTCTTTGTAAAAACATGGAAGAACCTGTAAAGGGGGAAAAATAACTGTTTTTTTTATGCACCGTATGGCTCCATACGGCTCTGTGTTCAAGCTGACAAAACACCACCTATTGACAATATCGGGCTAATCAATTCACTGTTAAAAAAAAAAAAAAAAAAAAAAAAAAAAAAAAAACATATTCACGTCGAGAGACCATGCTATGCAATCGGTGAGTCGGAAAGAACAGGGTAGGTAAACAAAAAATGAAAAAATAAAAGAAAAGAAAATAAAAGAAAGAAAAGCTCAACAAAATATTCTTGTCTACGGAATGAACATACGGCATGCGGTGGCGGATATGAGCAGAGACCAAAACCAATAGTTCCCTAGTTTCTAATACACTAACCAGACTATTCAAAGCCGTTCCAAAGAAATTATCGATATCTGCCAATGACAACATCGATTTCCTTTCTTCCTCCTCCCCCATCACCTCTACTTTTTCTTACTGTTTTGTTTAGCATTTTGATAATTAATTTGATAGTGCATCTTTCTTATTGCTTTCAAATTTTATATAGCTTATTTATCTGTTTTCCTATTATTATATAGCTTATTTACTCGGCTTCAAACTTCATATAGTTTATTTATGTCTTCAATTTTTATATAGCCTATTTACCTGCCTTCAAATTTTATATAGCTTATTTATCTGTCCTAAAATTATTATATAGCTTATTTACACGGCTTCAAATTTCATACAGATTATTTATGTCTTCAATTTTTATATCGCTTACTTTCTTGCCATCAAATTTTATATAGTCTATTTACCTACAAATTTTTAGAGCTTATTTAATTCAAATTCTATGTAACTTAATTAAATGATTTCAAATTTTATATAGCTTATTTACCTGTCTTCAAATCTTATATTAATTTATTTACCTGCCCTCAAATGTTATACAGCTTATTTACCTTTTATATAAATTATTTATCTGTCTTCAATTTTTATGTAGGTTATTTACTTGACTTCGAAATTCGTGTTGCGTATTTAACTGCATTCAAATTTTATTAGGTTGGTGCAAAAATAATGACGTAATAATGTCGTTTCTTGACGTATTTTTAACGTCAAAGAACGACATTATTACGTCATTATTTTTTGCACCAACCCAATATATAACTTATTTACCTACCTTCAAATGTTTATATATATTTTCTCATCGACTCCAAAATTGATATAAATTATTTTATCACCAACTAATTTTACAAACGATATCTAATCGCCCGTTATATATATATATATATATATATATATATATATATATATATATATATATATATATATATTCTAACCACCAGGAGAGTGACTAATGGGGCCTTAACTTTTCGGCTGACAGCAAGTACAAATATTATATTGAATCAATTGCTAGATCTGCCGCTAGGAAAGTTGGTCCACTGTGTCTACCTAAGTAATTTTTCTCGACAAAATCGATCTTACGCAAATGAAATTCAAACATTAGTCCATTTATTGAATATTGCATTCACATCAAGTCTGCTGCTTCTGCTATGCATTTAGAGATTCTTGATTAAATACGAAGAAACAAAACTGCAATGTTATTGGTCCTGACCTGGCATCTCGGCTTCAGTCCTTTTCACACCGGTGCTGTGTAGCTTCTCTGTGCCTTTCTATAAATATTTTTAATGGTGATTGCTCTGATGGGCTCTCCCCTTTGGTATGTAGACTTTATAAACTTAAGCGCAGTACTGGATTGGCGTTAAGGTCTCATCATTTTAAACTTGAAATCGATAGATGCAACCGTAAGTTCTATGCTAACAGTTTCTTCTATCACACTTTTCGCTTGTGAAACTCTCTTCCGACTTCTTGCTTTCCAGGCAACATTGATTTTCAAAATTTAAATGCAATGTCAGTCATCATCTTCTGCCTTCTTGATTGTTGTTCTTTTCTTGTTCTCTCTTATTAAAATTGTTTTTTTTTCTTTTTCTGGTTTTCTTTCATACTCAGTAAGCATTTGCGTCTTAGTGGCTTTATTGCCTTGCTTGGAGTGAATGAGATGGTACGTAAACTTTATGAATGTAAGTGTAGTATTAGATTGGCGACAGGTTTTCATCGTTTTAAATTGAAGTAGCTAGATATAACCGTAAGTTCTATGGTAAGAGTTTCTTCTCTCGCACTTCTCAATTGTGGAAATCTCTCTCGTCTTATTGCTTCCTAGTCGGATTTGATCTTCCAAAAATTTAAATACAATGTCAATCGTTATCTTCTGTCTTCTTAATTCTTGTACTTTTATTGTTCTCTCTCCTTAATAATGTCTTAGTTTTTTTGTTTTTTCATATTAACTCAAACTCAGTAACACTTGTCTTGCTTGGTGTGAAGTGATTAAAAATAT